ACGAAAGAGGGGGAGGCCTTCAACGAGATGGATTGACACGGTGGCTGCGATGATGAGCTCAAGTATAGCAGGGATTGTGGGGCTGGCGCGGGATCGAGCAGTGTTTCGTTCTGCTGTGCATGGGGTCGCTATGAGTCGGAAACGACTCGAGGGCACCTAACAACAACAACAACAATTCTTTTCATGGGTACTTTCCTCTCCCTGGAGCTCCCACCACTGCACATCAGTGAGGTCTCTGGCACCCCAAGGACGGAAAGCAGAAAGAACTTCCTGGCAACATTGTCTTCCCGGGGGCGGGGGCGCGGCTGGAGCCGCGGAAACTTCTCTGGGAGCGGCTGAAGCCAGAGCAACCCAGGGGTGGAAGGGTTGGGTGGGGGTAGAAGTAGAGTCTACACTGCTAGTCTCAAACACTGTTTCCACTTCGGCTTGTCTCAGCGCTCCTCCCTTTTGCCACAAGCGGCCCCAGCGGAAAAGTGGGAAAGGTACAAAGGTGAGGTGGGCACAGTGGCCTGTAAAATAGCCACATTCCAGCAGAAAGCAAGCATCGGATGTGGCCTAGGACGTATGGAAACACTCTAAATGCCGGAATACCTCATGAGCTTTTAACAAGCTGTCTTTTCTATTTCTCTATTCCTTCTCCATTTCTGAGGCTGCTCTATGCCCTTGTCGATCTCACGTGCCAGTATCCCTCTTTTCTTTCATTCTCGCGCACTTTTCCCTGGTTTCTTCCTCGAGCGCGCAACGGCACCGCCCAGAAAACGAACTCCCTGCGTTGCCTGGTGCGGGAAGTCAGCTAGACATAGACTCAACAAGACTGGAGTTCCCCAAAACCCTACACAGGGAGCGCAAACGTGGCGCTCCGGCGCCCCCAGTGGCAGACTCTGGAAGTCTAACTCGCATAGGCCAGGAGTTGGGGGACTGACTGGGTAAAGGAGCTGTGCCATGAAGTCGGTGAGGACCTCCCTCTCCCAAGGCCTCTGGCTCCTGGTGCTAGACTTGGTGGTGCTTCTTGCTGACTCTCTTAGCAAGGACTTTATTTTTCACCCTGAGTGGGGGTTTGACTCGTACGAGATCACAATCCCCAAGAAGCTGAGCTTCCGCATGGGAGAACAGGGTGTGGCCAGGCACGGGTCCTACCTCCTGAAGGTAAAAGGCAAAAATCATGTCCTTCACCTGCGGCCCAAGAGGTTTCTGTTGCCCCGACATCTGCAGGTTTTCTCCTTCACGGAGCAGGGGGACCTTGTGGAAGATTACCCTTACATCCCGAAGCTCTGCAACTATGTGGGCTCGGTGGAAGAGGCTCAGGAATCTGAAGCTACGTTGAGTACATGTATGGGGGGTCTGCGAGGCATACTGAAGATTGATGAAGAACTCTATCAAATCGAGCCCCTCAAGGACTCTACCAAGTTTGAACATGTCGTCTATCTTCTGAATAAGGAGCATTTTAGCAATTGGACCTGTGGCTTAACTGGTGATGAAAATGAGCTGCAGATGTCCCAGCACGAGAATATGGCTAGGAGAAGGGATTTTGCTGGATTCTATAAGCACCAAAAGTATATGGAAGTGCTGTTGTTGTTTGATTATGGCAGATACTTATTTGTGAAGTCAAATGCAACTCAAATCATAAGTGATGCCATTTTTGTGACTGGAATTATAGACACCTATTTTCAGGAACTCAGTCTAAGGGTAAATCTACAAGCTCTTGAAATATGGACACAGGGAGACTTAATTAATACCCTACCAAATGAGATAGCTAGCGTTTTAGGCTATTTTGTAATATATAGATACGATGACCTAAATAAACGGATTAAAGCAGATTGGGCACATTTGTTTGTACATAGAATATATAGTGATTCACTTGGAGTGTCCTTTGGAGGAACGTGTAATTACGGTCACTCCGCATCAATAGCTTCATTTCCAAATATGAATGTCCTTGGACCTGGCACTTGGACGACTCATGAATTTGGCCATACTTTTAGAATCCCGCATGATGAGAAATACTGTCAATGTAAGGGTAAAACTAGTTGCATCATGGGCACTGGACATACTGGGTGGAGTAATTGTAGCTTTGTAGGTTATTTCAGGGCAATAAATGTAGGATTATCTTGTCTAAATAACATCCCACAAATAGCTTATGTGTTGGAGAGCTGTGGAAACAAAGTTGTGGAAGAGAATGAGGACTGTGATTGTGGTTCACGAGCAGAGTGTCAAAAGGACAAGTGTTGTCAACCCGATTGTAAATTGAAGCCTAGTGCCAACTGTAGCACTGGTCTTTGCTGTCATAACTGTCAATTTCGTCCATCTGGCTATGTATGTAGACAGGCAGAAAATGAATGTGACCTCACAGAGTATTGCAATGGGACCTCAAATCTATGCCCAGATGATGTTTATAAGCAGGATGGAACCCCTTGCAAATACGACGCTCATTGTTTTGGAAAGGGATGTCGATCCAGGCTTTTGCAGTGCCAAACAATTTTTGGACCTGAAGCCAGGGAGGCTCCTTATCGGTGCTATGAGGATGTGAATACAATCGGCGACGAATTTGGTAATTGTGCCATTAAAGCAATTACTCTATTTCATCCTTGTCCCAAGCGAAATGTAGAATGTGGCAGACTACAGTGTGTAAATGTCAAATTGGTCCCTGATATGCCAGATCATACTTTAATAATTCAAACACATTTGAAGAAAGAAAATCTCATATGCTGGGGCACAGGCTACCATCTAGGCATGAAACCCATGGGGATACCTGACCTGGGTGTGATAAATGATGGCACACCCTGTGGCCAGAACCAGCTATGTATTAACAGAAGTTGTGTTGCTAACTCAGTTCTGCGGTATGACTGTTTGCCTCAGAAGTGCAATCAGCGAGGCATTTGCAACAATAGAAAGAACTGCCACTGCATGTATGGCTGGGCCCCACCGTTCTGTGAGGAGGAAGGATATGGAGGAAGCATTGACAGTGGGCCTCCAGGACCTCTAAGTCTGGAGGTGCCTTCATCAGTTCAGATTGTGTCTATTATGTCATTACGCCTTATTTTCTTTATCATCTCAGTGATTGCTGTGTTCTTCATTCGAGGGAAACTCAAGCAGGAGTCACCCTCAAGTACATCACTGAAGGCGGAAAAGCCAACACAACAGACAACATGAAACCAGATAAGTAATCAGGCACCTATAGACACTCGGGAAATCATTTATTGAACAAGCTTATCACATCCAAACAGTTCTTTGTTCCTCTCCTAATTCTTTGTTATTTTGTTTTCTTGCAAGTTTTGACCAGCAAATAAATGATACTCTTAATCTGAAAACAAATCAGTGCATTTTATTTCCAAAGGATTCACATGTGATCAAATTTGGGGTATCCTGAAAAGATTACCCAAATTGCTTTTCTGGATATTGCAGGCTAAATGTTGTGAGTTTCACAGAATCATAGGAACTCTGGTGGCATAGTGCCTAAGGCATTTGACTGCTAACCAGAAGGCTGGTGGTTCAAACCCACCAGCCACTCTTCGGAAGGAAGACTGGGCAATCTACTTCCATAGAGATACCACCTCGGAAACCCACAGAGGGGTAACTAAGAGTCAGATTTGACTTGATGTCAGCAAATTTGTTTTTTTGTTGGACGGGTCATTGCAGTTCTACAGACGGTGTGGTCCCTGACTCAGTGTTTAGGAGACATCAGGTGGGGTAATGACACTAGTCCACCATAACTCCCACAATGCACTGCAGTCTATAAATGATGACAGGCACTGACCTGTCCTGGGGGCAAGACTCTTACCAAAATTCTTCAATTTGGGTTTGTGCTTGAAGGGCCAAGTTTTTGTGAGTATGTGCTGAAGGACACCTAACCCTAAGATTGCCTTAAACACAGCAGAGGAACACCTTTCACTTCCAAGTATTTCCATATCTCTATCTGAAATATTCTCTCCCCTACATACAGTGATTTCAGTAGGAGGAGGATTGAATGGTGCCTTCAAAAGAGTCATTACCCACCTCTCATGTGCAGGATCTCATCTCTCCTGGACCTGTGTAAGCCCAAGTTTTTTGGGTCATTCTTTAGACTGGGCCTTCCTGCTGCTCTCTTCTCTTACCCCAGTGTTCCTTCCCTTGTCCAAACACCAAACTGTACTCCAATCCCAATCTTTTCTTAGCCACATAGCTCTTCCCATTAAAGAAAAACTGGGATGAGCCACAAACTGAAACGTGGTCCCCTTAGACTACCTAGGAGATTGATTTTATTCAGATGAGAATATTGAAATAACACTGATTTTGTGATGATCATAATTCTAAACATATATCAAGTTTTGCCATCATAGAACAAAGTCCCAAACATCAAGGATGTTCAGTGACAGTTACATTACTGATAATGATGGCTAACATTTATTGAGAGTTCACTATTTGTCTGACAATGTTCTAAGTGCTGTATATGCATTAATTTGTATACTCCTGACAATACTTCCATTGTTTCCCCCTTTTTCAAAAGAGAAAGTTGAGGCACTGTAAGGTTTAATAACCTTCCCAATGTTGTTAAACACAGCTAATAAGTAATTAGTACTCAATGAAATATTATATAGACACTAGAAAATTTAATCTAGGAAGGAGACTTTTTTCAAGAACTGAAAGACTATTCATACATTAGGAAGTGTTGCTGTTGTTGTTGTTATGTGCTGTTGAGTCGGCCCCGACTCAGCGACCCTTCCTTGGGTTTCCAAGGCGGTATCACTACAGAAGTAGATTGGCCAACCTTCCTTCCGAGGAGTGGCTGATGGGTTTGAGCCACCAGCCTTCTGGTTAGCAGTCAAGTGCCTTAGGCACTATGCTACCAAAGCTCCTACATTAGGAAGTATTTTAACATTATTTATTGCATTAAGATATATAAAATGAGATAACATTATATAAATAAATATTGAAAATATTTTGTACTCATCAGCAATTTTTGATAAAAGATCTTATGGGACATAAGAATAGAAAAGAACAGTTCAACCATGATAAAAAGTATTTACTATAAATCATCAGAAAGGCATTGCAAATAAATCAAGAAAAGGAAAAGATACCTTAACATTCTTAATACTCAATGTTGTTTTAGAGGTTTAATTAATGCATTAAAAAGAACAAAATATGATATCAATATTGCTCCTGAATAGAAAAACTATTTTCAAATTAATGGACAGCTGTGGATTTAATATGTATCTCTTTTATTAAATCGCTTAAATAAATTAATAAAGAAACTTAGGAAGTCTAATACGTTCCACTATAAACCTATTACAATTTATTAAATAATTTAATAAAGAAGTCTAATAAAAGAGAAGTATATTAAATCAACAGCCACCCATTATAACAGCAATAACAAGTAACAAAAATAGAGAATATTTTTGGACTTCTGGCAAGACAGTGGAATAGGCAGACAAGTTACACAGACCTTCTGCAACAAAGAAATGAGAAAGCAGCTCAAACAGATATCAGAGATAATCCTGGAACCCTGAGCTTTGAAGGGAGAGATAAAGAGTGGATTAAATACCAACTAGGAGAAGAATTTGTATGAAAAGAGTGACTAAGGAGACAATCAGAGCTGCAGACTATGGGCTGTCCTGATGCCATGGCCAATTTGACTATTTACTAGTGGGATTCCAATCTGGGCAGCAACCTAAAAATCAGCTCTGCTCATCAAGGACTGCATGGGCAACTGCACTGGTGAATGACAACTAGAAAGGAAAACAGTGAGGAAGGAGACAGATGGAGTTCTGGACTGTCGGCTGTCCTGAGGGGGTAGCCATTTTGAACACTTGCAAGAGCTACAGCCATTTTGGATATTTGCAAGCAGCATTCCAATCTGGGCATTGACTGAAGAATAGGCTCTGCTTGCCAAGGACTGCACGGGTAACTGCATTGGAGGCTGACGACTAGAAAGGTGTGATATTCCCTCTGTTACTCTTATACTCCACACCCTTTTGGTTAACAGAGGTGTAGCCAACCCCTATTTCCACCTACTTTCTCAACTGGCATGAATTCCATCCCAGTCTGTGTGCCCTGACAGAGCCTGGGTGCCCTGCCCTACCCTCCTCTCCAGTTTTTTATTCATTGGCTTTTAAATTATTCTTTTTTTTCTTCCTCCTTTTTCCATTTTATTTTTTATTTTTCTCTTTCCCTTCCCTTTTTTTTCCCTCTTCCATCTTCCTGGTTCCCTTCTTTTTTCTTTCTTTTCTTTTTTTGTTTCTTCCTAGCCCTTGTACTTCTTTTAGAGTTTTCTCATTTTTTCTTTACTGTTCTTTAATGTTGCACTTTTCTCTCATTCCTCTTTCCCCAGATATTGTTTTTTTTTTTTCTTTTTTCCTCTTTATCTTTCTTTTGTCTTATTTTTCAAATGTAATTTTTAGGTTTCTCTTCTCATTTATCGCCCTTCTCTTTTTTGTGTGTTTGTTCCTGTTTTTTTGCGTGGGGTGTGTTTTTGTTCTCTTGTTTTTATTTTTTGGCAATTTATTTATTTATTTATTTATTTTCTTGTCTAATTGAGTGGAAGAGAGTAACTGTTCCTACACTACCCAACCATACCTGCACTTCCTGCAGCTCCACTCAGTTGATGAGGGCCCCCACTTGCTTCTGCACCAACTGACCAATGATAGATGATGGCCATTACCAGCCCAACTCACCCTCGACTGTTCTTCATGAACAGCTAACAGAAATCTGTGCATTACTCTCATTCTCTATCACACCAACCAGGAAACAGGTGGTGAATGCCTAAGTGCTGCCAACTAGCAAATAGAGGAGCACAGTACTCTGCTCATGCAGATATATCAATAATAATAATAATAATAATGGGCAGATCACACCAACATACAAACACCAATGAAATATAAATACAATGATGTCACAATGTCTCAGACATAATAGACCATCACAGTTCACACAAAGAAGCAACATAAAGTAGTAGAAACAAGGAATTAGGATACAGACCCAGAAAACATCCCTGATGAAGATTCATGGAAACAATTAGTCCTAACAACTGGTACACCATGTGATCCTCAGCCTATATGACTATGAGACCAGAAGAACTAGATGGTGTCTGCCTACCACTGTCAACCACTTGGAGGGGGATCTATGTAGGAGATCCTGGATAGAAAGGGAGAACAATGTGGAACAAAACTCAAAATCATTTGGAAAAAAACAGGGGGGACCAGGTTTGCTGGTCTGATAGAGCCTGTTGGAACCACTGAGACTATGGCCCCTAGCTGCCCCTCAGGTCTGGAATTGAACCCACACCTGTGGCTTCCAGCCAAACAAAAGACAGACATATGAGTTGAATATTTACCTGAGGTAAATACACTCCTTGGAGAGGACAATCATGGGAGAAAGAAGGGCTGTTTATAAAGAGGGAGACAGTTTAGGGGGCAAGAGTGCATGGATAGATGGTGTTCTGGTTACCTAGTGCCACTCTGACAAGAATATACTACAAATGGTATGGCCTTAACCAAGAGTTTATTCTCTTACAGTTTGGAGGCTTTAAGTCCAAGTTCAAAGTGCCAGTTTCTAGGGGCTGGGTGAAAGCCCCTCAACCTTGGGGTCCAGCTCTGCTTCCTGCTCCTGGCCCACTGGAGCTAGAGGCATTTCTTCACTCAGACAGCTGCTGGCTGCTGAGGCTGAGAAGCCCATGGTTGACAAGTAAAAAGGCACAGTCCCGATGTTACCGAACCACACGGCAGGCCATTAGTTTAAGTCCATTGTAAGTCCCAAGGTCAGCAGAGCATGGCAGGTTGCTGAACAATGACACGGCTACATACAGGGTCTAAGTGTGCCATAGGCTAGAGACCATTCCCCAAGGCTTCTCCTTATATACAAGAAGCAGACCACATCCCAAAAGCAGATACTCAGCTGCTTGTGGTAGATTTCACCATGGAGTTGATTGCCAGTCTCATCATGGGGAATAACTACCACCAGCTGCCCAGCCACTCAACCAGAGCCAGCCAAGTTGACACAAAAACATAACTACCAGAGCCTGGCCATATGGTCAGCCAAATGAGCAATGGCAAATTGGACTGGAAAACTGCATGACTCTACGGAAATCACTATGGGAGTTTAAGGAACACATCAAAGTAGGACATGCTGATGCCCATCAGAAGAATCCCCTCCCCATAGCAGAGGACAATTGGAACGAG